GCTACAGCAACTCCTACTAGAGCAGGGATTATAGACTCAGCTCACCCCTACTACCTTCACCCTTCAGATTATCCAGGCATGAACCCGGTATCTTCAGTTTTTGATGGCAAGAGTTATGGAGGATGGAGGAGAGCAGTTGTCATTGCTCTATCAGCCAAAAACAAACTAGGGTTCATTGATGGATCCCTAGTTGTCCCTGATGCAGATTCTGGACTTCAAAAGGCTTGGGCTCGCACCAATGACATGGTGCTCTCTTGGTTGTTGAACTCCCTGTCAAAAGAGATAGCTGAATCTGTCCTCTACTCCCAAAGTGCAAAAGATTTGTGGAGTGACCTGGAGGATGATTTGGTCAGACAAATGGAGCAAAGTTGTAATTGCAAAAGGAACTCAATGCTTTTGTGCAAGGTAACACTAGTGTATCTACCTATTTCACTAAAATGAAAAGCCTATGGGATGAACTTGATGCTCTCAACACCTTTTCTGTCTGTGCGTGTGATTGCAACTGTGGAGCTAAAGCTAAAACACAGAAAGCACATCAAGATGAAAGGCTACTGCAGATCCTGATGGGCTTGAATGATACATTCATTGGTGTCAGAAGCAACATTTTGCTAACCTCACCTTTCCCTAATATTGGTCAAGCCTATTCCCTTGTAATTCAGGATGAAAAACAAAGGGAAATCCATGCTACACCTGTTTATCCTGGTGATTCAGCCTCTTTTAATGTTGCCACTCAATCAGCAAACTTCAGTAAGTTCAAAGATAATAAAGGACATAAGGGTATATTTCAGTCTAAGAAGGGAAATGGGATTTGTGCTTATTGCAAAAACCCAGGTCATACCATAGAGCAGTGTTATAGGCTTCATGGTTTCCCTACTGACTTTAAGTTCACAAATCAGAAGAAATTTCAAGGAAGAGGCCATGTGCAAGCAAACAATATTTTTAACTCAGAAGAAGCAAGAGTCCAACCAACAAACAATGCAGAAAATGTTCAGGCACTCACCCAGGAGAATGTGGCAGAATTGTTGCAACTTCTTCAACAGGTGAAGTTGGGACAGCAGGGAGTAAGCACTTCTGATGCTTCAGCCAATCTGAGTTGTGCTGGTATAGCTAAATTTTTTGACTCCTATGCCTGTTTTTTTCAAATTGACAGCAATTCATGGATATTAGATAGTGGAGCTACAGAGCATATGTGTTTTTCTAGAAAATTCTTCATTGAGTTTAAAGCTTTACCTAAACCTCTCATGGTAAAACTCCCTAATTCCTATAGAGTCAAAGTCACTCATTCAGATTCTGTTTCATTACTACCTAATGTGGTTTTACAGGATGTTCTATATATTCCATCCTTCAGGTTCAACCTCTTATCTGTGCATAAATTATGCAGACAACTCAGGAAATATGTCTTATTCACCCCTTCTTCTTGTTTTTTACTGCAGGGCCCTTCACTGAAGAGCCCTATGAAGATTGGTAGAGAAGAGGGAGGACTTTACATTCTCAAATCAAGCCATTCAGCTGGTGTTCCTAAGAGTTTATCTAAGTCAACTAGTTTTTTTTGTTTCCAAAAGGAATTCACATTCTAGTCCTGTTTTTAATTCTTGTTTTGTGTTTGCTGATCCAAATGTAAAAGAAAAGCTATGGCACTATAGATTAGGCCATATGCCATTGAGTAATATGAAGAACATTTCATCAGACTATATTCCAAAGTGTTCTGTTTTTTCTACTCCTTGTACTATTTGTCCTATGGCAAGACAGACAAAGTTACCTTTTCCTTTAAGCACCATTTCTACCAAGAAAGTGTTTGATATAATACATGTGGATACCTGGGGACCTTATAACAACCCTACTCATGATGGTTTTAGTTATTTCCTTACCATAGTTGATGATTTTAGCAGAGGCACTTGGACCTACTTGTTAAGTACAAAGTCTAATGTTTTCACCACTTTGAAATCCTTTTTAACAATGGTCGAAAGACAGTTTCACACTAAGGTAAAAGTTATAAGGTCTGACAATCCCTTTGAGTTAGGAAATGGTAAGCTGCAATCAGAATTCTTTCTATCCCAAGGTATTATTCACCAAACCAGTTGTGTCCACACTCCTCAATAAAATGGAGTAGTAGAAAGAAAGCATAAACACCTACTAGAGATTTCTGGGGCCCTATTATTTCAATCACATTTGCCTAAGGCCTATTGTGGGGATTGTCTACTCACTGCCACTTTCTTAATCAATAGGTTTCCTTCAAGGATTTGCATTCTAAAACACCTTATGAGATTCTATTTAAGTCCAAACCAGACTATTCATTTTTGAGGTGTTTTGGTTGTTTGTGTTTTGCTTCTACTACCCCATACCACAGAACTAAATTTGATCCAAGGGCAGTTGCTTGTGTATTCTTAGGGTATCCACATGGTAAGAAGGGTTACAAGGTGCTTGACCTTAAAACTATGAGAACTTTCATTTCCAGGGATGTAGTTTTTCATGAGGAATTCTACCCATTTGCTTCTATTTCACACTCTTCTTCTACACCTATCCTACCTGCAGCTCACTTGCCCTCTTCAGTTGTACCACTCCCTGATATATCCACTTCTCACCTTCACAGCACCATCTCTCCAGGATCTACACCTTCTCACCCTACTTCTGCTCCATCCCCTCTTACCATCCCAGTCTCATCACATATTCCTTCTAGACATAGTTCAAGTCCCTCTCCTCAGTCCACCAGTCCTCCACCTCTCTTCTCTTCTCCTAGAACTGAACCTATGATGGAGAATCTAATCAGAAAGTCTTCTAGACCTCACATCACTCCAACTTATCTCAAAGATTATATCTGCAATGCCTTGCAACTCACAGATATGAGCAGCTCTTGCTTTCTCACACCTGTTACTCCTTCTTCTATTTCCTTTAGTGGTCTATCTTGTGCTAACCAACGTATGCTTAACTCCCTTTCAAATATACAAGAACCTGTCTCTTTTACACAGGCTGCATATCATCCAGGATGGCAGGAGGCAATGGCAAAGGAGATTGAGGCACTAGAACACAATCAAACTTGGGAAATGGTGGAATTACCACAAGGAAGGAAAGCTTTGCCATGTAAGTGGGTTTATAAAGTTAAGCAGCATTCTGATGGGACAGTGGAGAGATTGAAAGCCAAGTTAGTGATAAGGGGGGACATCCAGAAGGAAGGCATTGATTTTAATGAGACCTACTCACCAGTGGTTAAAATGACCACAATTAGGTGTATTTTAGCTACTGCTGTTAAAAAGGGATGGGGCCTTTATCAGTTGGACGTAAATAATGCTTTTCTACACGGTGATTTACATGAAGAAGTCTATATGAAGTTTCCTGCTGAACTTACACCACCCTCTCCTAATCATGTTTGTAGACTAAGAAAATTCATTTATGGGCTTCGTCAGGCTTCACGATAGTGGTATGCTAAACTTACTACAACTCTAAATTTTAAGGGATTCACTCATTCCATGAATGATTATTCACTTTTCTTCAAAAAGACAGGATCATCTATTTCTATAGTTGCAGTTTATGTCGATGACATTCTTTTAACAGGAAATGATAATACAGAGTTACATGCCCTAAAGGATTTCCTACATCAGGAGTTTAAAATTAAAGACCTTGGAGACTTACATTTCTTTTTGGGCATGGAAGTGATTAGAGAACCTGAAGGCTTGATTCTCTCTCAACAGAAGTTCACTTTAGATCTACTGCAGGAATTTGACTCTTTGAATTTGAGTCCTGTCTCCTCTCCCCTTGCCTCTTCTGTGCGTTTGTTGGCCAAAACAGGGGATCCAGTCAAAGACCCGACTTTGTACAGACATTTGCTGGGGAAACTCAATTACCTTACTCATACCAGACCGGATTTGTCCTTCACAGTGCAGCACTTAAGTCAGTACATGCAAGACCCCAGACAGCCTCATTTTGATGCAGCACTTAGGGTGCTTCGATATCTCTTGAAAGATCCCGGTCTTGGCCTATTTATGTCTGCTTCAACTTCTTTTTAGCTACTCGCCTTTTGTGACTCTGATTGGGGGACTTGCTCGGAATCTCGCCGGTCAGTAAGTGGATTTTATATCTCCTTAGGTACCTCCCCGATTTCCTGGAAGTCCAAGAAGCAGTCTTCCATCTCTCTCAGTTCTGCTGAAGCCGAATATCGTTCTATGCGGCGTGTTGTCGCCGAACTCACTTGGTTGGTCCGCCTCTTCGACGATCTCTCCATACCCATTTCTTTGCCCGTTCCCTTTCACTCAGATAGCCAAGCTGCCCTCCATATCGCAAAAAATCCGGTCTTCCATGAACGGACAAAACATGTTGAAATTGATTGTCATTTTGTGCAACAACAATTTCTTGCTGGGCTAATTTCTCTCTCTTTTGTTCGTTCTAGTTCTCAGCTTGCCAATCTCTTCACTAAGCCTCTAACAGGCTCACTTCATCATCATCTACTGGGCAAGTTGGGTGTTCGTACCTCCCCCTCCAACTTGAGGGGGGGTGTTGGTGTTAGTCGATTTCTACAAGTTTCTGACAAAGAAAGTTGAGAGATGAAGTGTTTTAGGTTCTGGTCTATGTCCAATATTTCTCAGCCTTTGTATATACATATTTGGATCGGGTTTTGCTCTTTGATCTGTGGAGAAGATTTGGGCCTCATTTATGTTGGGCTGCCTTATCTACATGGCTTAAAATAATTACTGCAGCCCAAGGTCATGTGTTCTGGAATATCAGAGAACAAGATATATACACCCTGTAAATAGCATTTTATATTTCTTGTATTTATCTGACAGGTTAGTTATAGTGTAGAAATTTTTCAGTTATAACTTAGCCATTAGGTGCATGCCACTTGGCATTTCTGTTTTAGCCTAGATTCCTTTTCTTCTTGTATTTATACCTTGGCCTTGTACAGCAGAAAATATACAGAGAAAGGAAATTTTCATACGTTGCTCTTCTTTACTTTCTACAGAGAGAGAACCAGAGAAGCCATTGGTGTGAGAACAAATTTATATATACAAGTGACATTTCCTTGAATTCTCTATAATTACAGTGTATTAACAAACATTGAGATACATGATTAGTGATTAAGAAGGTTGAGGAGGGAAACTCTGGTTTTTACAAGGTGCCTAAACATGGCTTCTAATCCTTCCTCTAATTCTTGAATGCTCGATTCAAATATCTCGAGTTTTTTAAGTACACTTTGTATTTGTGAATAATCTTTCTGTTTACTTTGAATAAGAAGCAATTCCATGTCTATCTTCTCAACTTCTGAGATATCAGCTCCTTCACATGACACTCTCTTTGTCTTCAACAGCTTAGAGAACAAAGACAAACCGCTTGCCTTTGATCTTATTTTTGGATTTGAAATGAAAGATAGAGTTGATTCCAATATTGTAAGACTAACTTCTTCAACTCCTTTGATTAAGCTAATCGATGATGCTAAGTCAGAGTCGTCTATCACTATTGTGTAATTCTTCTCTGTGTGGTTCAAAAGATCTCGGAAATATTTACTGATTACTTTGTTTAGTTTCTTATTGGATGCCAAATATGCATCAACTTCATTGGATAAGTTGGATTCTCCACCTCTTTTTCTACGAAGAGATGATTCGAGTAGTTGAACGCGTCCCTTTATCTGTGAGAAAGCATCTTTAACGATGCTGCAGGTATCGACAACATTGAGGGACACATCAGAGACTTGTTCAAGTAATTTTGCATGTTTTTCAAGGGAGAGAACTTGTTGGTTGATTGGCAAAAGGAGGACATCATCAACACATTCGTATAATTTTCTAAGACCATCCAAATTTTGGCATATTGTTGAGTGAGAAGATGTGGAAGTTAATTCAGATGACTTCAACCTTTGCAACTGCTCCTCTGCATTGACAATGAGAGGATGAGTTGCAGTAGGCAAACTCGTGGTACGAACATGGTTTGTCGCCATTTGATTTTCCATTTGAAGCTCTTGTCTTAACTTTGCTAATGCAGATTGATGAGTTTGAAGAATGTGGCTGAGGAAAGGTTGTGTCTTTAGTGAATGGTTTAGACTAATCTGTTAGCAGTATATATATATATATACATATGAGAAGGCAATGAAAACAAAGATAATATCGTCACACCCTTAGCGTAGTTGTCATGTCTCTGATTCTCTGAATGCTCCTTCAATTTTATATCTCATTCATGTACATTAAGTTTTCATATATGATACTTATATATTCTTCAACTACCTGCAGGGACACCACCAAGCTTCCAAGCAAAAGATTGCAGCGTCATTAATTATACATTTGAGCTGATTTTAGAGATTTGAGGGAGCAATAAGAATCTTGAAAGCCTGTCATATTTATTTTATATTAATTGTACACGTTTGAGATATATGTAATCTGCTCAAATGCCAAGGGGCTAGATTTGTGTATGGTTCTGTGTACTAGTCCTTGAATCTATTCATTATATGCAATATTAAGCTTGTGCGATTACAAACAACAACAAATCCAGTGTAATCCCACAAGTGGTGTCTGGAAGTTTGTGCGACTGTTTATTGGAAATGGCATTATAACATGCTTAGGTGGAATGTGAAGTATGATTAAATTGGAAATTTTTTTCCTTAGGATTGTCACACTTGGAGTGGAAGGTCCGTTTAAACTACCTTTTGAAGTTATCCTGGAAAGTTTTGCAAGAAAGGCCATAACACAGATTAGTAAGTGCACAAATAGTCATTCTCACGGATGGTATTTAGAGATTAGCCAGTACTTATTTTGTCCTGAAAAATTTAACTAAAAATCTTAACTTCAGGACAATTTTTGTCCCAAAAAATTGAACCGGAAAACTAAAATTCAGGATGCACCGGCTGATTCCTAAATGACATCCCTTTAAGTGGCTACCTGATGTCATTTCTACCTTGGATATTAACGATCTTCATGTTTTAGCACTAAGCATTAGCATACAACTAGTGATTCTACAATAGTTTGTTTTTGAAGGAAAGGTTACAACAACAACATACCTAGTAAAATTCCACTAGTGGGGTTTGGGGAGAGTAGAGTGTACGCAGACCTTACCCCTACCCCGAAAAGGGTAGAGAGGCTGTTTCCCGGAGACTCTCGGCTCAACAGGAGAGACAATAATATCATAAAAGAAACAAAAGAAAAGGCATGTAACAACAAAAGATGCCAGAAAGAAAATAACAACAACGAATAAGTGAAAGGACAATAACACAAAACCATGCAAAACAACAATGTGAACACAACGTAGACCGCTAACAAACCTAAACAAAACTCTAACAGACTACCCGATACAAAGAGGGAAGAACTCTCGACTACCCCCTAGCCTACCACCCTAATGCTCGACCTCCACATGTTCCTATCAAGAGCCATGTCTTCGGAAATCTAAAGCTGCGCCATGTCCTGCCTGATCACCTTGCCCCAATACTTCTTAGGCCGCCCTCTGCCTCTTCTCGTACCTGCCAAAGTCAACTGCTCACACCTCCTAACCGGTGCATCTAGGCTTCTCCTCCGCACGTGTCCGAACCATCTAAGCCGCGCTTCCCGCATCTTGTCGTCCACCGGAGCCACGTTCCCCTCTCCCGAATATCTTCATTCCTAATCTTATCCGGTCTAGTGTGCCCACACATCCATCTCAACATCCTCATTTCTGCTACTTTCATCTTCTGGATACGTGAATTCTTGATTGGCTAACACTCAGCTCCATACAACATGGTCGGTTTAACCACCGCTCTATAGAACTTGCCTTTGAATTTTGGTGGCACATTCTTGTCACACAGAAATCCAAACGCTAACGTCCATTTCATCCACCCCACCCCAATACGGTGCGTAACATCCCTGTCGATCTCCCCATCTCCCTGGATAATTGACCCTAAGTACTTAAAACTTTCTCTCTTGAGTAGGGGTGTGCATTCGATTTATCGATTCGATTTTGACCCTTATCGATAATTACTTATCGATTATCGATTTGTACATATGCTTATCGCTATCGTTTCAATAAGGTTTCGATTTTTTCGATTTCGATTTATCGATTTTTGGGGCTTATCGATTCGGTTATCGATTAACCAATAAGAAAATTTGCGGGATTCCACGGAAAGTATATTGCTATAAACACGCCTAACTAATATGGATAAAAAGAAGTTAAAATAAGACGAACACCGTTTATAACATAAAAATTATAGAATATAGAATAAGGGTAAATTATTTCCCGCGAAAATCCAAGAAAAATTAACATACTTTCCTAGATCTAAATCAGTAATTTTCATGTAACCCCTTAACAGAAATCTGAAAAAAAACAAAAACATGTAGGTTTTGTTGGTACAAAGAATCTTGTAACTCACCAAACTATCTAGTGGTAAAAGACTGAATACTACCATGAGTCTAATTTTCATATTTATCAGTTGATTATAAAACATTTAAAACCACTATCTACAACAAATTCAGAATAAGAAACACAGAAAGATCCAAACTTGAAGCAAAAGCACAAGTCTTTTCTATCACTTAAGAGATGAAAGAAGAAAAATAAATATTTCAGCAGGAGACAGAGGAGGAAAAATATTACTACTCCTATATAGTATATATTCTGAGGAAGAGGAATACCTGAAATGATTTTTCTTTTTTCCTTCCAAAAGTCTGTGCAACTCTGCCTCTACTTTCTTATTCCAACGATTAATTAACCCTTTAAACTGTAGACGGAAGAGAGAAGAAAGGGTATTATAGAATAACGGTATATTTGTCTTTTTAGTATATCTTATCGGTTTATCGATAAATCGATAACCGAAGAGGACAAAATCGAAATCGAAATAGATAACTCGATAAGGAAAATTTCGAAATCGAAATCGATAAATCGATAAACCGATAATAAATAATCGATTCGATTTATCGATAAACCGATTCAAATGCACACCCTACTCTTGAGGATGACCTGTGAGTCAAGCCTGACTTCCACATCCGTTTCCCCCGTCGCGCCGCTCAACTTAAATTCCACATATTCCATCTTAGTCCTACTCAACTTGGAACCTTTAGACTCCAGGGCTCGCCTCCATACCTCCAATCTCCCATTAACGCTGCCTCGCGTCTCATCAATCGAAACTATATCATTAGAGAACAACTACACCATGGCATCTCCCTTTGGATATGGTGCGTCCATCGCTAGAGCAAATAAGAACGGGCTGACGCAGATCCTTGGTGTAACCCCATAACCACCGGAAAGGCTCTGCTTCACCTCCCACAGTCCTAACCCGAGTCATAGCTCCATCATACATATCTTTTATCGCCCTAATGTAAGCTACCGGCACACCTTTCACCTCCAGACACCTCCAAAGGACGTCCCTAGGGACATTGTCATACGCCTTCTCTAGGTCAATAAACACCATATGCAAATCCCTCGTCCTATCCCTGTATAGTTCTACCAACCTCCTCATAAAGTGGATAGCTTCCGTAGTAGAACGACCCGACATGAACCCGAACTGGTTTTCCGATATAGACACCCCCCTCCTTATCCTCCCTTCCACCACCCTCTCCCAAACTTTCATGGTATGACTTAGTAACTTGATACCCCTATAGTTGTTACAATTCTGGATATCCCGTTGTTCTTGTATACCGGAACCATTGTACTCCACCGCCACTCATCAGGCATCCTCTTTGTCCTGAAGATAACATTAAACAACCCAGTCAGCCACTCCAAGCCTACTCTACCCGCATATCTCCAAAACTCCACTGGAATCTCGTCTGGTCCGGTCGCTTTGCCCCGACTCATCTTACCCATCGCACTCACGACCTCCTCAACCTTGAAGCACCTACAATACCTAAAGTCTCGGTGACTCTCGGAGTGCCCCAATTGCCCTAACACGATGTTTCCCCCCCTCCCCCCTTCATTCAGAAGTTTATGAAAGTACGATTGCCATCTTTGTCTAATTTGGGCCTCTTCCATCAATACTCGACCGTCCTCGTCTTTGATGCACCTCACTTGATCCAGGTCGCGAGCATTCTTCTCTCTCGCTTTGGACAACCGAAATAACTTCTTGTCCTCACATTTGCCCCCAAGTTCCTCATAAAGCCGACCAAAAGCAGCAGTCTTAGCCTCTGTGACCGCTAATTCGCCTCCTTCCTAGTCTCCGTATATCTTTCTCTGTTCGCTCTCCTCTGATCCTCGTCGGTGCTCTCTACTAACTTAATGTAAGACGCTTTCTTGGCTTCTACTTTACCTTGGACCAAGTCTTTCCACCACCAGTCGCCACGATGCCTGCCAGAGTAACCTTTCGAAATTCCCAACACCTCTCTTGCTGCCTCCCTTATACAATCTGCCGTCGTCGTCCACATAGCGCTAGTGTCCTCACCACTCTTCCACACACCTATATTCGTCAGCCGCCCTTCCAACTCTTACGCATTATCCTTAGACAAGGCTCCCCACCTGATCCCCGACTGACCCCGTACAAACCTCTTCTTCCTCTTCATAAAGATACCGATGTCCATCACCAGGAGCCTATGTTGAGTTGCAAGGTTCTTACTCGGGATCACCTTGCAATCCTCGCACAACCCCCCATCAAACCTCTTGAGGAGGAGATAGTCAATTTGAGTCTTAGCCACCATACTCCGGAAAGTAACCAAATGTTCCTCCCTCTTCGGAAACATAGAGTTCATGATCACCAACTCAAAAGCTCTAGCGAATCCAACAGTGAGGTACCACCCTCGTTCCTATCACCAAAGCCGAAGCTACCGTGCACCTCACCATAGCCACCAGCAGACGACCCAATATGACCATTCAAATCCCCTCCTATGAATAGCTTCTCCGTAGGCGGAATACCCCACACCACCTCATCCAGCGCCTCCCAGAAACGCCTTTTAACCTCCTCGTCTAAGCCCGTTTGCGGCGCGTAAGCACTAATGACATTCAGAGTGCTCCCTCCAACTACTACCTTAATCGCCATCAATTTGTCATTCACCCGTCTAACCTCTACCACCGACTCTCTAAGCTCCCTATCCACCAAAAAGCTCAATCCGTTCTTGCCCTTCACGACTCCGGAGAACCACAATTTATAACCGTCTACATTCCTCGCCTTTGTTCCTACCACCTAGTCTCCTGCACACATACTATATTGACCCTCCTCTTCTGGAGCTCTATAGACTTACCCGCTAACGTCCCTATATTCCACGATCCAATTCTCAACCTACAGGCTACCTTGTTCCTTTTACCCCCTTTGGGCCCCGTCCCACCCCCTGACCCTTTGCCTACCCCCCTCCCCGAGGACATGAGCCTACTCTACCATTACAAACCGCAGTCTCTATACCTACGAAGGTCTAAAAATGAAAAAGGAGAAAAAACACCACACAGAACAACAAAGGGAGCAAATAGTAGCTACAAGCCCACTAGACTGACTAGACTAGTACGAAATACTACGACAACAAAGTAATTAACACAGGAGACAGAGAAAAAGGAGGCGGGAGGTACCAATTCCCGCGAATAGAACCTGGAACTCTCGACTATGTATACTCCCGATGCTGCGAAACCCGATGTATAGTTGCTACTGTACTGCTTGTGTGCGTGCACCTCCCAAAAGTGATACCTGCAAAACACGCAAACACTCACGGAACCAAGAGAATAGGGGGAGAAAAAACCCAGAAATAAAAACCAATATCTTCTTCAAATTACCCTTAAAAGCCAAAATTCCCTTTTATATCTTTTTGAGATCAATTTTAAAAGAAGAGAAAAAATATCCCTAAAAGAAGGAAAGGTTAAAAGATAGTAAAAATATAGGTAAATATTATCTGAAGAATATTGAAGAATAGTTGCTGACAAAATTTGTTACACTTGCTGTATTCCATATGACAAAAATGTACATCCAAAGCTGAAAATGGTAACATTTCTTGTACTCTCTAGGATAAAATAGTATACACAAGATTGGAACCCCATATACTAAACATAGCACATATGTAGTGAAGAATGTTGAGAAGGGAAACTCTATTTTTCAAGAGAAGCCTAAAGATAGCTCCCAACCCATCCTCTAGTTCTTGAATGCTTGACTCAAATACCAGCAGTTTTTTAAGTGCACTTAGAATCTGTGAATGATCTATCTTCTCGTTTCGTAGAAGAAGCAACAACTCCATGTTTAACTTCTCTATTTCAGAGATATCAATTCCTTCACATGAGACTCTCTTTGGTTTCAACAGCTTAGAGACCACCCAAGACCAACTATTCTGCTTTGATTTCATCTTTGTATAGGAAATGAAAGATGAAGCTGACTCCAATACTGTAAGAGTAACATCTTCAAGTCCTTTAATTAGACTAACCAATGATGTAAGGTCAGAATCCTCTATTATTATTGTCTGATCATTTTCTTTCTTATGCAAATCTTTGAAACATTTGCAAATCACTTTGTTCAGTTTCTTATTAGATGCCATGTATGCGTTCACTTCATTTGATAAGCTAAATTCTCCACCTCTTTTTCTACGTAGACATGACTCGAGTAGTTGAACACGTCCCTTCATCTGTGAGAAAGCGTCTTTAGTGATGCTACAAGTATCCAAAACCTTGAGGGAATCGTTAGAGACATGTTCTAATAATTTAACATGTTTTTCATGGGAGAGAACTTGTTGGCTAAGTGGCAAATGGAGGACATCGTCAACACAATCGTACAGTTTTCTGAGTCCGTCCAATCTTTGGCATATTGTTGAATGAGAAGAAGTGGAAGTTCCTTGAGATGACTTCAACCTTTGCAACTGCTCCTCTGCACTGACAATGAGAGGATGAGTTGCTGTAGGCAAACTCGTGGAACGAACGAGGTTTGTCGTCATTTGATTTTCCATTTGAAGCTGTTGTCTTAACTTTTCTAGGGCAGATTGGTGATTTTATGAAGAATGTGGATGAGGAAAGGTTGTTTCTTGGTGAATGGTTTAGACCAAAATGTTTAAAAGTTTATTTATATTCAAACTGCATATAATGTCTCTGATCCTCTGAATGCTCCTCCTATTCCGCCTTTTGTCTAATCCATGTACTTAGTTTTTAATAATGTAGTACTTTAATATTCCACAACTACCATGTTTTTAAAGATTTCAGGGAGCAATAAGGATCTTAAAAGCCTGTCATATCTAATTTATATCAATTGCACACGTTTGAGATTAATGTGATCAGCTCACATGCCAAGGGTCTAAGATGTTTGTACGGTTCAGTGTACCAGTCCTTTCATCTAATTTAGTAGTCCAATATACAACAGTAAGCTTGTGAGACTGTTTCTTGGAAAGGTGTAAGTCGAATAGTAAGATGCAGGGATGTTTAACGGGATGTTTGGGCTAGTCAAGACGGGCCGACTCATAAAATGTGTCGTTGCATAACCCTGCCCAAAGTTCTTTTGGGTTAAGATTCAAGATGGGATAAACAAGAGTCCGAAACCTAAATGTGGTTCTTTTTTACTCAAAATACGTTTTTAAGTGTAAAAAAAAAAAGTTAACGGCCGTTTGGACCGCTAAGGTAAAACGCGGCTATTAACCGCGTTTTATATAGAACGCGGTAATAAACCCGATTTAAAGGGAGCTGAAAAGACTGGTATATAAAACGCGGTTCATTACAGCGTTTTACATAAAGCGCGGCAATGAACCGCGTTTATATAGATAAATATCAAAATCCCTTCCCTTTCCCCCACGTTCTGCCCAGTCTTCTTCTTCATTTTTTTTTAAAAAAACGCTCCCCCCCCCCCCTCCATTAACAACAAAAAAAGCTCGTGTAGACCCCACCTGTCCCGTAAAAATTAGATATTGTTGGTCCCACATCCTAGCCAAGCCTTATATTGTTGTGGGTTGCTTGTTTTGGGGTCAAATTTTCATATCTTCAACTTTCCGAAAAACATAAATCGAGGTATTCCGATTTAGTTTATGTCCAAACTCGTATAAATAATGCATATTAGTTGTTTTGAATGTGTTGTATGTTGTTTTGTATTTTTTTTTGCGATTAAATTGGTATGTTATTTTTATCCGGACTAAGATATTAATGTTGTAAAAAAAATATAAAAATTGTGAAATTGTTATTATTTGTTAGTAAAAATGTTAATAAATTACTATTACTGTTTTATATGTATTTTTGTGATTACAATGTATTTGTTGTGTTTATCTGATTTAAATTTGCTTAAACACTAGTAATCGGACCTTTTAGGGTAGTAAAATATAATGCCTTTTAGCGTAGTATAATGTAGTGCCTTTTACCGTAGTATAATGTAGTGCCTTTTAGCGTAGTAAAATGTAGTGTCGTTTAGCGTAGTTTCCCTGTAGTTTAAGTATCTCTTATACCCAAAAATACGTCAAAATAACTGATAGATCAAACACAAACTCCGTCCAGTTATAGTCAATATATATTTGGTGCTACTGGGCCGCAAATATCGAGCCCGGACCCATATATGAATATTTAATAATTAAATATTATATAATTTTAAAAATTAATTATTTAATTTACAAACAAACATATAAAATTATAAAACTAACACGTAAAATAATAAAACTAACAAATAGAAGAATTCAGGATAAATTGGTGCTACTGGGCCACAAATATCGAGCCTGGAACCCATATGTGAATATTTAATTATAAAAATTAATTATTTAATTTACAAACTAACATATAATTATAATAAAACTAACACATCGAAGAATTGGTGCTACTGGGCCGCAAATATCGAGCCTGGAACCCATATGTCAATATTTAATTATAAAAATTAATTATTAAATTCAGAAACAAATATATAAAATTATAATAAAACTAACACATCGAAAAATTGGTGCTACTGGGCTCCAAATATGGAGCCCGGAACCCATATGTCAATATTTAATTATAAAATTTTAATTATTTAATCCAAAAACAAAAAAATTATAATAAAACTAACACATTGAAGAATTGGTGCTACTGGGCTCCAAATATGGAGCCTAGAAACCATATGTCAATATTTAATTATAAAATTTTAATTATTTAATCCAAAAACAAACATATAAAATTATAAAACTAACATGTAATTAGTGTTGTTTAATTTACAGTAGACGACATGGAGGCGCCGCCTATTCATCCTGGACCTTTTAGCGATGAACTACTCTCGTTACAGGGCGACCATAGGTCCGCCCACATATGGGAGGGTGAGTTACTGACCCAGACTCTCCGCGCTAGGAGAGTGGACGACATGTGGGACTTTCTGCATGACAGAGTTCTCCATGCTTGTGTAGTCGCGTGCATGCGGGACACTGGTTTCTACAGGATGATTGAGATCGGGCGGCTACAGCTCGATTGGTCTTTGATCACGGCCCTGATAGAGCGGTGGAGGCCGGAGACGCACACTTTCCACCTGCCCATTGGCGAGGCCACCGTCACACTGCAGGACGTGGAGGTTTTGTATGGGCTGCTCGTTGATGGACTGACCGTTTCACTACCACCTGGCATGAGAGAGATGACACGTGTGCAGCTGGACACGCTGCAGCGGCTCACTGCTTTCCGGCCAGAGTATGAGACTGTACTGCATGGGGCCAGTCATTTTTCGTTGACGACTATTCGACTGTGGTTGGAGGCATTGCATCCTCAGATCGATAACGATACATCGGATTATCATGTTGACCGGTATACGAGGTTGCTTCTACTGCTGTTGTTTGGAGGGGTCTTGTTCACAACACTTCGGGGAACCTAGTCAGCTTGAGATTTCTTCATCATCTTGAGCGGCTAGATGATTTATCCCAGTGCAGCTGGGGCTGTTCTCGCCTACTTGTACAGATGCATGTGCCAGGCGAGCATGGGCACCCAGTGTGAGGTTGCTGGATTCTTGCTGCTGCTACAGGTGACAACATATCCGAATACTCTATTCATTTTAACATACCTAGTAAAAATATATCTTAAATTTGACGTCAAGTTTTTATGTTAGGTTTGGGCCTGGGAGTGGTTTCTGCAGTTCCAGCCACCTCTACCACCATTAGTTCTGGTTGTGCCACCGGAGTTTCTCCCTCTATCTAGGAGGTGGGTACTCCGACGGGGACATACGCACGAAAACGAGGCTCATCATAATCTCTCCTTGTGCAGAGATATATTGGATTTGCTGGATGGCGCACAGGTAAATGTATATCTAAGTTTAATTGTCATTGCTTCAAACACAAGTTGCGTATACTGACGTTTTCTGTTCTTCCTTAATAGTTCATCTGGACGCCATACAGCGACGCGATGATAGCTGGCTTGCCCGATTATTGCTCGACCGGCCGACTTATGTGGGGCGCTTTCGTCCCGTTGTTCTGCCTTGATTTTGTGGAGCATCATGCCACAGAGCGGGTACTTTGCCAGTTTGGCAGGCCGCAGCTCGTACCGACACCGCCCACCTGGGAGACCACACATTACCAACGGGATGATCGTACCAGGGTGGATGATGTATTTTTGGTATAGCTAGAGGAGCAGATCGATACATGGGACCGGCGAGCTGACCTGATTCCTCCCCCCCCCCCCCTTCACCGAGTCTGCAGGATACTGAGCATGAATATATGCCCTGGTACCGCGGCGTTACCGGACTTATTATCGGGAACCCCAACCATCGAGCTGGCGGTCGGTACGTTTCGTACGCCGGGAGGCACGAGGCACTAGTATGTTATTTGGTATTCTTACTTATAACTTTGATATATCGTTCTGTAATTTATATTTTACATGTTCTGCAGGCTATTGGTCTCCATTTAGTCCACCAGTTGGGACTGCAGATGCAGCAGCATGCTGGCGATCCTGCGGTCTCTTTGCAGGAGTATGGCCGGCAGGTGACAAAGCTGGCTGCCCGGACACTGCATCGAGCCAGAGAGGACGAGCGCTTAGATCACGACCCTGGTTATGTGGCGCCAGAGCACTACCATCGGGGTAGGCCTGTCACACGCCCGAAGGGATAGGCACGAAGCAGGGCTGTCCCACGAGGTAGGGGTGCCCCACGGGGTCGTCGGGGCCGGCGAGGTGGTGGTCCCCAGCAAGGGAGCATTGAGGCACCTATTGAGGCACCTGATGAGGAGGTTGGAGCTGATATGCCGGCTTACGTCCCTCAGCTAGACGAGCATCCCAGCAGCATGCCTTCGTACAGCCTTCAGCTGGCGCTGCCAGCATCGTAGGTGACCCCGTCAGATCCATTGTTGATTACGGGCACGAGCTTCACCGGAGATTGGGAGCAGTTCTTTTCAGGCCCATCGTACGCAGCTGAGGATCGGCCGACCCAAGACGTGGATGGTGGGCGCAAGCTGAGTTTTGGCTCATCATCGACGGGTGTTGTGGATCTATCACAGGCGCAGGTATGTTTGTATTACTATTAAATTTTAATTTGTTTTTTCTCATTGATTCGCCATAAATTAATTTTTAATTTTCTTATTAAGGCTTCATCCCATCCCGTCACGGAGGCCACTTTGTGCGATGCTGAGTAGGACACCACGAATGCTTATATTCAGGAGCCCGACGAGATCATGGTAAGAAAATATTTTTGACTTAACACGTATATTACTAATATATATTTTCATATACTGAGCTTACTTATTGTTTTGTAGGTTGCTGATGGACCGACGGCCCCTTCTACCCATCCTGCCAGCCCTACTGATGATCATGCTGCAGCGCATCCTCATATAAAGAGGCGACGTGATGAGGATGATCCTGATAGTGTATCCGAGCGGGAGGGGATGCGCCTCAGGCCAGCGGCTACATTGAAGCACACAGGCTGTGAGACACATTGATTTTCTTTTATTGTATTTTATGTAAATAATAACAATAATTTTTTATGCTTACATAATATGCGCATTATGTTTTTATTACCCCGTTTCTTCTTTATTTTAACACAACAACACAAACACAAACATAGAAACTTAACATAACTTAAATTCAGTACAACTAATGAAAATACATGACACGGGAAACATAAAGATATAC